TGACATTTTCAATGTCAACATGCCGCCAAAAGAAACCCTCCAGGTGACAGGTGCCGGCCGTGTCCCCGGCTCTCTTTCAGGAGGTGTACGTGGGCAAGGAGACCCTATGCACCATCGACGGCCTCCATTTCAACAGCACCTACAACGCCAGGGTCAAGGCCTTCAGCTCCTCTGGCGTCGGGCCTTACAGCAAGACCGTGGTCCTGCAGACGTCGGACGGTGAGCATGGGGGGGTCTCCGGGGGAGAGACAGGTGCGGGCTCTGTCTCCGAGCCTGCGTGAGAGCCTGCTAGCAACTCCCCTCCCCCCTTGCTGACCAGCTCCCCCCCTGCCTCCTTCCTTTCCAGTGGCCTGGTTCACCTTTGACCCCAACTCTGGGCACCGGGACATCATTTTGTCCAACGACAACCAGACGGCCACCTGCAGCAGCTACGACGACCGGGTGGTGCTGGGCACGGCGGCCTTCTCCAAGGGTGTGCACTACTGGGAGCTGCACGTGGACCGCTACGACAACCACCCGGACCCCGCCTTCGGGGTGGCCCGGGCCAGCGTGGTCAAGGACATGATGCTAGGCAAGGACGACAAGGCCTGGGCCATGTACGTGGACAACAACCGCAGCTGGTTCATGCACTGCAACTCCCACACCAACAGGTGCGCTTTGCCCTCGGCCCGGCCAGCGTAGAGAAAGGGCGTCCCAAAATTCATGCAGGATTTGAATTTTGCGTGAGCATTAACAACAAAAAAATAAAAGCCTAATTGTACTTGGTTTATTGAATCAGATTCTAATATCTGTTGCCCTTTGGTTTCAATCCCTTCCATTTGATCAGCATCATCAAGTACTGATTATGTCCCAGGAGCAGGGACAATGAAGACCAATGAAGACTGCGGCTTTGCCTATGTGCCAGCAAAGCCGTTGACCCAATGTGCTATTCCATACATAACCCTATCCTGTATGCTTTATGAAGCAATAAAAAAATTACAATTTTTAATTATAAACCTGTGTTTTCTATCAAAATTACTTCTTGCGTGAATTTTGGGACACCCTTTATATTTAGGCGATTGTCCCCGAGCCACCCCGACATCCCGGGCTGGGTGTGGTGACGGCCCCACGGGGGCTTCTCTCCGCAGGACGGAAGGCGGCGTGTGCAAGGGGGCCACTGTGGGCGTGCTGCTGGACCTGACCCAGCACACCCTGACCTTCTTCATCAACGGCCAGCAGCAGGGCCCCACGGCCTTCAGCCACGTGGACGGGGTCTTCATGCCGGCCCTCAGCCTCAACCGCAACGTGCAGGTACCTTGCCCGCCCCCCAGGGCCATGGGCTGCTGCCCCTGCTGCTTGGGGGACGTCCACGGGGCATCTGGGCGGCTGGGTGGTTCTCATTCCAAGGCGAGAGGTGCAGATCCACTCCTGGGGGCACACGCGTGGGCCGCGCCTGAGTGACCTGAGCCCACAGCCCCGCGATGCGGAGATGCGGCTGCCTGTGGGCACCGGCAGCAGAGGGTCACACGTTGCCGTGTGCCCTGGGCGCTCAGGGCTCGCTGGGGCACCCTTGCCCCCCTCACCCACCCCGCGTTCCTTTCCAGGTCACTCTGCACACAGGACTGGACGTGCCAACCCACCTGGGGCGGCCCAAGCTGGCCGGCAACTAGTCCCCCCACTCCCGCCCCACAAGGGTGTCTGGGAGGAGCCCGCCACCCCTCGCTGAGATCAACAACCACGCGGGCCGATGGATGACCACGTCGCGGTGCCCCCCCGAGGCCCCTGAGTATCTTAGAGACATGTTTGCTTTGGGGGACGGAAGATGGGTCGCAGGCTGGGCCTGCCGTGGCCGCTGTGGGTGGGGGACACGGGGGTGAGCTCCCCTCGTTCCCCCCAGACGGTTCAGTACTCACAGAGGACCTTGCTCCTGGGAGTGAGAAGGGATCGGGGTGTATGGTTTCCTGCCATCTGTTCCCAAAGCTTGTCTTGTGGGGAGGAGGGTGGAGGCGGAGAGAAAGGCAAACTTGGTGACTGTGGTCCTGAGAGCAGCAGACAGGAGACCCTATGGCCCGGTGTCCCCAGGGCCCGCCCATTGCCAGGAGAAGGTCTTGAGCTTTTGGGTCCTGGAGCTTCAGTGAGTTCTGCCACTTGCAGACGAACCAGGATCCATGGGAAAGGGCGCTACGCATTCATGCGATCCTCAGCCGCTCGCTGAACTGTTAAACGCCTTCTAAATGGTTTCCTTAGGTCCCCCATCCCCGCCCCCCGCCTCTCTCTCTCTCTCTCTCTCTCTCTCTCTCTCTCTCTCTCTCTCTCTCACACACACACACACACACACACACACACACACACACACACACACACACACGCAATCGTCTGCTGAAGTGAACCCACTCTGTCCTTAGTTCCTAAACAGAAGGAAATCCTGGAACTGGAATTGGAGTGACCAGGTGACACACCTCCACCTGGGGGTGGCTTCTCTGGAACGGGCTCCCCAGTGATCTGCAAGCTGTCCCAGAGAGCTGGCCACTGCTGCTCTGAGACCCAGCTGTCTGCCATCATGAAAGCACCATGAGCAAGAAGCGGCCGCAATGGCAACCGGGCGGACGGGACCCCCCTGAAGAGGCAGCAATACTGTTCCTTGTCCCCCAGCTTCCCGGATGGGCCTGGGTGTGCTGAGGCCACAGGGAGCACCCACCTCCTCCCTCCCCTCCCTGCTGGGAGCACCCACCTTCTGCCTGGAGACCCATCGGAGTCAGGTCCATCTCTCAGAAAAAGATCTCACTCCTCCCTCACCCCCTTTGTGTCCCCCGCACCTCCCTCTGCAGGTGGACGAAACCTCCCTCATTTTTGCAGGAATATATTTTACAAGCATTTTCTTTCTGAGGCCGGGGAGCGACTAGTCTCTTTGCTGGATGGGCTTTTTCTATAACTCAGTCCGGACACCAGCACCACCGGTGTCTACTCGGCTCCGGCCGCTTGTCAGACACCGCCCTTGCTTTCCGAGTGACGCTAGCGCCCTGCAGACCCTGCCTCTGGTCAGCAGATCCGACGACTACGATCCTACCTCGAGCCCCCGCTCCTGCTGCGGCCACAGGGTGGCCAGCTGGGCCAGCTGCCCGGTGGCCTCAGGAGCTGTCTGGTGCTGTGCCCAAGCCTCGCCCACCAAGGTCCTCATCTGTGCAGCCGCCTCTCTGCTCGGCACCCACAGTCCTCAGTTTCTCTCCTTCACCGCTGCTCTGGGTGGACTCAGCCTGGAGGGGAGAGAGTCCTGAAGACGGGGGACACAGAGGCCCCACGGCTTCCTGGACCCGCAGAGCCATGGCCGGCAGGGCCAGCTGCACCAGCTTTGGGAAACGTCTCCTGGAAACGACGAAGCCAGTGCCCCGGGAATAGGAGCGCAGCTGGGAAATCAGGCAGGGCTGCCTGGTGGAGGGGGCCTTTTACCACAGTGGAACCCAGATGGGAGGCGGGGAGCTCCCCGCATCATCGGAGCTCTGCGTCTTTGGAGGGGAGATGCCCAAGCTCAGCCCGGACTTGGTGTCAGCTGGGAGAGCCAGCACCGAGGTCCCAGGGAGAAGGGACGTTCCCACAGTTTCAGGTGCCTCTTTGGGAAGAAAAATGTCCTGAAATTCAGGGAGAAGCCACCAAAACACCCTGCCCCCTCCCACCGCGGCCAGCAGGCCGGGAGGTCCCGTGGGCACCAACACGGGATGGTCCTCCCTTCCCCAACTCCACCGGGAGCGCAGAGCCATACGGCTGATGCCAGGGACGGCGCCCGGCCGTCCCACGGCCACCCCTCCTGTCTCAGCATAGGACACCGTTCAGGGACAAGAATGGACGTGGGAGGGAAGCCAGGTTCGTGCCACACGCAGTGTGTTTGGGGGTCGGCAGCTCGGAGCAGGGACTCAGCAGCCCGTGGCTGTGCGTCACCCTCCCAGGAGGCCCTGGCCATCAGAGAAGCCACGGGCCGGGGGCATCTCATCGGCCACCGAATCCCCCGACCTTTACACCGCGGTGACATTCTCCTACGGAAAATTATATCAAGAGGATGCTCTGTTGGGCCGGCGGAGGAGTAGCCTGGTCCATCTCCCCAGAAGTTTCTGCGAGAAGGGAATTCAGAGTCGCGTCCAAGGTCAGGCTCCTCGCCTAGCCGATGATGCCTCGGTTTCGGTTTTGTACGTAGTTCCCCCGGAGTTTGTCCTTTGCTGGTGAGCAAGCTCGGGTTTTCCGTGTAGAATGAATCTCTTTAAAAAGTTCCCAATCGCATCTCACTCCTAGCCTCCTAGCCGCTAATTCATAACAAGCTAAGACCTTCCAGTGGTTCTCAACCTTCTGGCCCTTTAAATACAGTTCCTCATGTTGTGACCCCCAACCATCAAATAATTTTCATTGTTATTTCATCACTGTCATGTTGCTACTGTTATGAATCATCATGTAAGTATCTGATATGCAGGATGGTCTTAGGTGACCCCTGTGAAAGAGTCGTTCGACCGCCAAAGGGGTCGCGACCCACAGGTTGAGAAGCGCTGCTACACAGCCCTGCCTGTCCCCTTTCTAACCAGGGTAACGCCCCCGATGAAAGCGATCTGACCCGTGAAGGAATGAACTAGTCATGGGAGACGGTTCCAGGCGGCCTCTCCAGCCCCGTGTGCAGCCTGTGGCAGTGGGCACAGGCCTGTCCATCCGGGCTCCTGGTGCCCTGCCCCCCACCGCCCAGGACACTCTCTCAGGAAGGCAGCGGAATGCAGGACCCGTGTGCACTTTTCCCGGGCGTATATTTTTAATTATTTTTTTAGCCCTCACCCAAGGATATGATTCCATTGATTTTTAGGGAGAGTGGGAGCGGGAAAGACAGAGAGAAACATCTATGGGAGAGAGACACATCGATTGGTTGCCTCTAGAACGCACCCGACCTGCAACTGAGGTTCGTGCCCTTGACCATGCCCTTGACCGTAACTGAACCCAGGACGCTTCGGCCCACAGGCAGATGCTCTACCCACTGAGCCCCAGGGGCTAGGAGGCTAGGAGTGAGATGCGCTGGGCTCCCAGACATGTCTGCTTTTCTGCCTTCATCCTGATAGCAAATGTAGGACGTGGGCCCCTGTGGAGGCCTGTTCGAGCCCAGGTGAGGCCATGGCTTGTGGAGGAAGCCGCTCTGGCCCACGGGCCAGGCTGGTGCTGGGTTTCTCAGCCTCAGCACTGCTGACTTTTGGGGGGCGGGGGTGTTAGTGCCCGGGTGTGGGACGTCCTGTGCACGGGAGATGTTTACAGCAACCCTGGCCTCCTCCCTCTAGTGCCAGGAGCAATCCCCAAGTGAGCTGTGGCAACTGGACGCATCTACAGACCTTCCCGGGCGCCCCTGGCTGGGAACCCCCGGGCTGTGCTAGTGGTTTGCCGGGATGGGGGCGCCCCCTTCAGTGTTACCCGGAAAACCTACATCACAGGCTGCGGGCCTGGGTTTTCATACCCGAGACCAGGCTCTCTACGGGTCTGCCCCGTCCTGCCGGCTGGGGTCAACTGGGACGGACAGATGGACGGATGGACGCCAACCCGTCAGGCCTCAGCTCCGATTCCCCAAAGATGCCCCCGCCCCCACCCCCATTCCTGGAAACAAAACTCTTTCGTTGTCCTGGCAGCTTCCGAAGTTCCGTCAGGTTCCATTCGATGGTATTTAAGTCCTCGCTGATCCTGGGGCACCTCGGGGCTCCTGGGCACAGAAGTCCCGCCTGTGGCTGTCTCCATTCCTCCCTGCAGGTCCTCCTCGGAGAGAAGGGATCCTGGCAGCTTGACGTCTGTGGACTGGAAACTAGCCGGGAGCCCGTGGGGGCAGGATGTGTGGGCCAGACACCACGTTCAGGCCTCGGGGGCTCATCGGAACCTGGCTCTGACCTGGTTCAGGTCCGGGTGGGGCCCGGTCTCTTCAGTCCTCCGGTGCCTCGGTATCCCCACCTGAAGAAGGGGCCCGTCCCCCTCACCTACCTCCTCTGCTCTACTTTGAGGCCTAGACAAGAACGCGTTTTCCATCAAAACAGGACGGTCTGTCATCTGTTGACTCCAGGCCAGCGGTTCTCAACCTGTGGGTAGCGACCCCTTTGGGGGTTGAACGACCCTTTCACAGGGGTCACCTAAGACCATTGGAAAACACATACATAATTACATATTGTTTTTGTGATGAATCACTGTTTTAATGATGTTCAATTTGTAACAATGATATTGGGGGTCACCACAACGTGAGGAACTGTATTAAAGGGTCGCGGCATGAGGAAGGTTGAGAACCACTGCTCTAGGCTAACGGGTCGCTTTCAGTAAATCGAGCCCAGGTGGTGACTCTCCGGAATGTTCTCCGACCATCCCATCTTCCATCTGAGCCTCTGATGACAGTATTTTTGCTGTTAATCAATCCTCACCCGAGGACATTATTCCATTGATTTTTAGAGAGAGTGGAACCGAGAGGGAAAGACAGAAACATGGCTGGGAGAGAAACACAGGGATTGGTTGCCTCCTCCACTTGCCTCGATCAGGGCTTGGGCCAGGGAGGAGCCTGCAACCGAGGTCCATGCCCTTGACTGGAATCGAACCTGGGACCCTTCAGTCTGCAGGCCGGCGCTCTATCCACTGAGCCACACAGGCGAGGGCTCTGAGGACCGTATATATTGCACAGCTGCCTGGCCTCTCGGGGCAACGCTGACATTTACAGCAGCCTTCCTCCGAGGCTGGGAAGCAGCCCCCCGAAATTCTCCATCACCACGAGGCCTCTGTGCTCTGCCCGCGACCCTGGGCACAGCCCCACGCCAGCACTCCTGCTATTCGTCCCAAAGGCATCGCGGGCGGAAGTTCCCTTCCGATACAGAGAGAGATGCACCCCTCTTTCTGACTCCTTGGTTGCCTTAAGATCTGGTATCTGAGGGGTCCCCGCCCATAGTCTGGCTCCTTTGTCTCCAAAGATCTCGGCGGGGGTACATTTGAAACCGGGGTCTCAGAGAGAGAGGGGTACAGCGCTAGGACTTCCGTCACTAAGTGGGTCCCCGGCTTTTCCCTTTTTCTTTTGTTTTTCTGTGAAGCCTGAGTTTATTTCTATATAAAAATGCTCAAGAGACTTTAAAAAGGCCCAAAGGCATCCGGGTTTAATTTCAGATCGTCCCAAAGTGGCGTCTGTCAGTCTCTCCTTTGGCGAGGCTTCCACTGGATCCTTGTTCATGAAGCACCTCGGTCACTCTAGCTGGATCGTGGCCATTGCCTGTGACCCCCGTCTCTGTCCTAAATGGCCGTGGGGTTCTGAACGAGGAGAGCGTCACACCGGAAATCAGCTCAAGACGCCTGCAGGTTCCACACGAATGTCCTCTCTGCGCCATTCTTCGCAACCAGGCCCAGGGATTGCCAACTGGAGTAGCGGAGACCGCGACGAGCGTCCCCTGCAGAGACTGGGATGAAACGTGGCCCTTTCAGGCCGGAAACCAGCGGACACCCTCCAAGATGAAAACACTCCCCGGCTTTTTCAATGAGCGACATTGACTCCAGTCAGAAGGAGGAGGTGAGAGTGGAGACCTGGCGGCACTGGTCCTCTCTCCAAGGGCACTGCTCATTGAGGGCGCTGGTCCTGGGGAGGGCCCTGGGGGCTCCTGGGCTGCGAGGTGGGCAGCCTCACCAGGCCAGGCCCTCGGGAAGGCTCTGAGAGTTCACCGTGCGCTTCAGGTTTGGGACAGTGACGGCTGGGGCCCTGCGAGCAGGAACACAGCGGCTGCTGCCCCGGGAGTTCCGCCTGGGGTCCTCCCACTCCCGGGGACCACCCCCGGCCCAGACCACCTCAGTACCCAGAGGAGGGCAGGCTGAGCAGAGCAGAAAACGTCTGATGCATGACCCAGGATTGCTGCTTTCGCACTAAACTGTTGTATTAAGCATGAGAGATGTTTGTTGACCGTTGGCAGAGGAATTTAAAGAGTAACGAAGCGCTTCGTGTCCTTGTTTTCCTGCCTCTCTTTACCTGGTCCCTCCCTCCCCTTCTCCCCATCCCTCGCATCCATGTTGTCACTGGTTGGTGGTGTTTGGTGGCAGCCCTTGGTCCCTGAGGTGTTCGAGTTCCACAAGAAGCCCAGAGGGGGTTGGGAGGGCTTTTTCTAATTTTTGTATTGGTGCCCACAGCCTTTGTATTTTTTGGATTGCAGACACTGTGTTTTCTGGTCTTTGGGGGTTGGTGGAACTTTGTGTACTGCCTTTTGGAAAACCTGAGTTTTACCACGGTCTCAAGCAGATTTGAAATAAATTCTTTTGACACTGCCAGCAACTGAAAGACGAGGTGTGGTCTGTGATGACTGCTGGGCGCGGGTCTGCCCTTCCCCAAATATATAAAAATAATTGATTTGAGAGAGGAAGGGAGAGGGAGAGAAACATCAATGGTGAGAGAGAATCATGGATAGGCTGCCCCCTGCACGCCCGCCACTGGGGATCGAGACTGTAACCGGGGCCTGTGCCCTGGCCGGGAATCGAACCGTGACCTTCTGATTCACAGGTTGACGCTCGGCCACTGAGCCACACTGGCCGGGCTGAGGGCTTTTCTTAAACGTGCCGCAAGCTGTGAGAAGCCCCTCTCAGCCAGGGCGAGAGGCTAAGAAACGTGCTAGCTCCCCGGGGGTTGCTATAAAGAATTGGCGGTCGCTTACACGTAGGTTCTAGGACACGAGTCAAATGCACCTGCTATTTCACAGTCACGGCCACACACGCCCCAAAGGGTGAATTTTATTTACGTTCCTTCCTGTGAAGTAGACTTTAGACACTTGAGCCTGAACATGGAAGCTGCTTTTCCCACAAAATAACTTGACAAATGACCACATTATTAGCTTTCATGATAGTGACATCGAGTCGTTTTTAGAAAATTAAATGGCGATTGAAAGCTAATTATTAGCCCTTCCAAATCAGTACATTCCTGAGAAATCTTACGAGCAAATGCACAAAACACCAGTGAAAGTGACACTCAGTGACGCGCTGGGAAAATTAAACGTCTTCCGCCAGGTTCACTTCACATGCGCACGGCGCGTGGCTGGCCCGACGTGGCCCCGCAGACACATGAGCCCCAGAAGCTTTCCCGGTCCTACCTGACTTCCCCTCAAAGAACAGTCAGGAAGCAGGAAATAGTAACGGTCTGGGGTCCGGCCGGCCCAGCCTCGGTACAGGGCTCCCCGCCCCTCTGGCTCGGCAGCAGCTCACTTAGCCACGCGGGACGAGTTTATCTTCCTGATGTCGACGTGGCTCAGGATCAATGTCCCATTTTTGAATTTTCCAACCTGGCCGATCCGTCCACTTGACAAAATGCTAGGAGCTGCTTTCTTCTTCTTGGATTTCCTACGTTTAAAGAGAGAGCGACCCTTTAGTACAGTTCATGCTGTGGTGACCCCCAATGACACTGTACAAGTTGAATACCATTAAAGCAGTGATTCATCACAAAAACAATATGTCATTATGGATGTTTTTCCCATGGTCTTAGGCAACCCCTGTGAAAGGGTCATTCGACCCACAGGTTGAGAACCGCTGGTTTAGAGCCAGGCTCAGAGGGTTGCCGCACCATTGGCCAGACCACATGATGGCTCCCGCAAAGCCCCGCCCTCCATGGTCTTCCCTGGTCCCTCAGACACGCCAATGGCCGCAGGGTCTCTGGACTGGTTCCTTCCACCTGAGCTTTCCAGCTGCCCCTCCTCTTCCCCCAGGTGTCACCTCCCTGTCACCTCCTTGGACGACATCCGGCCTGCCCCCAGGCATCTCCTTTCACAAGGCTGCCTTTCAACCTCTCACAGGGCGGAGCGGAGCGGAGATGCCAGCTTGGCACCCTGCACTGTCTGTTGTATGTTTTGGTGTGTTTCCCTCACCACAAGGTCAGGGCCTCAAGGGTAGGGATGCCTCCAGGTGCTCATGGCTGCACACCTAAGCCGCCTACATGCCTGGCACGGCCAGGACACAGGCCAGCTGAAGGCGAGGGCAAGTTCGCTGGAGCCCAAGAAAGAGGTTGAGGTAACAGAAGCCAATTTTGAAACAGAAGGGGGGGGCGGCGGAGAAAAGGCACTAGAACAAAAGCTAAGAAACACCCATAAGCAACACCATCAGTATCAGTTATTAGATCACGGCGCTCTGCCTGGAGGCCAGCCACTCCCCACGGGACTGGGGCGGCGGTCACACCCGCAGGGGACAGGGGACAGGGACAGGGGACAGAAGTCTCTGTTGGAAATGCCAGCCTTAGCGTTTCCACTCATCACTCGGTGCGGATCTTTGGAAACAGGAGACGGGAGAAGGTCCCCGATCCAGTCCAAGGTCGCTGCTCGAGGTGGGCAGCTGACTCAGTCCTGTCTTCCCCTCACAGGGGAGCCCTGGGACAGGCTAGACCCCCAGCGACCCCCGGCCTTACCCCCAAAACTCAGCCACAGCTTCCCCATGCCGTCCGCCCTCCCGCCGTGTGGGGTCACTCACCTGTCCTCCTGCCCTTTCCTCTTCTTTTTCTTGAAAATGTCTGTGTCCTGGGCCTGTTTCAGAATTTGAGACAATATATGTATCAGACATAGCAAGAGGTCTGTGATCAAAAGCCGAGATGCTATTATCTTAATCCTTTTTGAGTAGACACATTAAAAAAAGACTCAAAGTTTCTTCCTAAAACACTTTTGAGAACATGGAAGGCCATTCCAGAGAAGACTGACGACAGAACTGTCCACTCCTCTGCCCTGGCTGGTTTGGCTCAGTGGAGAGCGCGTCAGCCTGCAGACTGAAGGTTCGATTCCTGTCGGGGCGCATGCCCAGGTTGCAGGCTCCATCCCCAGTGGGGGGGGCGTCGGGGCGCATGCCCAGGTTGCAGGCTCAATCCCCAGTGTGGGGTGTGCAGGAGGCAGCCGGTCAGTGATTCTCTCTCATCACTGATTTTCTACCTCCCTTTCTCCCTCTCCCTTCCTCTCTGAAATCCATAAAAATATATTTTTAAAAAAGAGAGTAAATGCAAAAGCTATTTAAAAAAAGTCCACTCTCCATTTCAGATGAAAGGGAGTAGAACACCCATCCCCTGTGCAAAGCCCCCGTGCACTGACCAACACCAAATACAAAAGAAAGAACCGAGTACAGGAAACCGATGAACGCAGCTGACAGGATCTGAACAGGAGTTTGTGGCTTCAAGCAAACCGCCATGCAAATACACCAGATCACTTGGCTGCATTACAAAACGCGGCTGACCTGAGGAAGTGGATTTGGTCCCTTAACTGTAGAGTCTAGACCAGTGATTCTCGACCTTCTGGCCCTTTAATTACAGTTCTTCATGTTGTGATCCAACCATAAAATTATTTTCGTTGCTACTTCATAATTTAATGTTGCTACTGTTATGAATCATCATGTAAATATCTGATCTGCAGGATGGTCTTAGGCAACCCCTGTGAAAGGGTCATTTGACCGCCAAAGGGGTCGCGACCCACAGGTTGAGAACCGCTGGTAGACCTAGCGCAGTTTCGT